CATCCTCTTTATTCTATGTTTTTTTTATCATGACCATGTCCATAATATTCATGCTGCATTCTTATTCTTAAGTCTGCATAATATCTGCAGAATGACTCTCCATTCTAAGATGGACATATTTCAATATTCTCTACTGTTGAACAATCAAATAGCTATGTCTATATATTTTTGTGTTTAATATTAAAATTCTGCTCATTGTGCATAATAATTTAGATATTTCAGGAAAATTTCATTGGTTACATTCCTAGAAGTAGAATGGATTGGTTACAGAGAATATATATTTTTACCATGAGAAGAATTTGGTTTTAAAGAAAATGCACATAATAGCTATGAAGTATTCTACACCGATAGAATTCTAGTATGCTATTATCCTGTAAGAGTATGAAGACAACATCAAGTATTTAATTGTTACAAATACTCAAAACCCCTCATCACATGTCTAATTATGAATATTCTAGCTTGAAGACATTAACATCCTGAGAACTAAAATGGGTAGGTATCATACCAAAAAAAAAAAAAAAAGATTTAAAGATTTATGCTGGTGGTGCAGATTTAACATAGGCATACATTGCTCAATATCATTGTAAATGGTTAGACTAGAACCACACTTTTATATAATTAACTCATTCAACTGAAATGAGCTTCCCCTGTAGACCATACATCTGTTGGAGAGAATTTGATCCTGTATAGAAGGATGAGCTAAATGCTCCTTTCCTACATCAAGTCTTGCAACTCTATTATAAAGACATACATTTCTTTTTTTCTGTGTTATGGACAAATGCATTTTGAATTTTCCTGAATACATATTTGTAAACTTTTTTTTCTTAAAATCCTTTTTATTTAACAAAAAAATTAAGGATAAGATATAGAATGAATCTGCATTTTACTGTAGACTTGTCTCATATTTTTTTTAAATTTTATAACAGTTTTACTATACTATTTCTAATGATAAATTTTATGAAACCATTCAGAGCAATTCTGTTTTCTTGTCTAGAGTAATAAAACTAGGTATAAAGGTAATGAAGTCATTCCTTATGTGACTATAATATAATCAAGTCTAAAATTATTCCCAAGGTCATCTCATACTAGGACAGGACGTTATGGTTCATCTATTGCAGACAAACTGGGTTGTGGCAGTAAATTACAAGTTTTGCATGTCTTGCATGTTCAAATAAGAGCCTCTAAAAAATTCAAAAAGCAGTGCTGCTCTTTGCTTTCCATCACATATCTCTCAGAAAAATCTAGATATACCAAATATATAAAAGAGCCTAATAAATAATATCAGTAAAACCAATAAATCATCACTTACATAAGTAGATGTTGTTTCAGAATTAATGAAAAACTGAAAACTGCCCCTTGAAAACTCTGATGATGAGAACTTACATGCTCAAAATATATAAACATAGAGATAACAGAAAAAAATGTTCTCATTATTTTGAATAGGGCAGAAGTGCTTAAAATTAAGTATAATTTAAATCTTGTTCATTCAGTAACTTAAAAGGTATCTATCATTCCTTTATCAATTATATGAAGAGAAACTCATTACAAGTGTGTTATAACCTACAGTAGTTAAGTTTTAGAAGTATAAATTCACTATCAGTCTATAATGATTTAAATAGATCATTAAGAGTGAGAAGAGGTCCACGCGGCAAGGCATAAAAACGAAGCCTCTCCACTCTCCTTCACACTGCCTTTAAGTCAGTAGAGAACTTAGTTTAGACCTTCAGAGATCACACCAAGACTATTCAAATGAATCTCCTAACTAATCTACCTAGCTCCAAATACATGAATACTCTCATTTCCTGTTCAAATTTTTTATTGGTTCTGCACAAAACAAACTGTAAACTCCTTGTCCCAGCAGATCTCTGATACCTATCCATGTTTCCAAACTATCACCCAAGTCTCCTCCCACCGGAATCTTTACTTCCCAATGTCTCCCCAAGACCACGAGCAATGTGGTCCTGTGTGTCTTCATTATCTTGTTCTTGAGGGTGCCACTCCTTTTCCTCTTGTCCCTATTCCTGAGTTCTACCCACAAAGCCACTCTTCCCTACTCATCTAGGCTACAGTTCCTGTAGCTAATAACACTCATAAAGCCCCCTCTATACACCGCCCCTATACACTATTTATTCTAGCACATAACATTATTCCAACTGTACTGCAAAACTGAAAGACATTTCTCATGCCACTGCCTCATATTCTAGCACTGCTGCCTCCATCCCCACCCCCACCCCCATTTACTACACTAGGCAGCACAGCATTGTTCTGACTCAGGCATGGAACATCTACTGAGTCAAAGACACAGAATAACAATGACTCATGGAAAATCATGTACTATCTCTTAATAATGTAAGGACAACTTGTACTATCTATGACTTTTGAGAAGCATTTTTATAAGTCTTCTGAGTACTTAGACTCCAAGATTATGGCATTAAATTGTTTTCAACCAGCAGAGAGTTATCATTTTGTTATGAATATCATGTTTTTCCAGTGTGTCCACAGAGAGACCTCTGTTCACCCTATGACAATTGACAGCAAATGCCTATTCCTCTTGACACCAGCAGCTCTTCAAAGCAAAGACAGGGTGCTCCCTTTCTGATCTCTACGTATTACTAGTTCATGTAGTGGGAACTTATTCAAAGATTGATCTAATACCATGATTACCTAAAGTAAACACAATTAAAGAATAACCTTTGCTAGGCACATAAATGTTAAGTAAACTTAATTCATGACTGCAATTTCAAGTGAGACATATGACCAAAATTCTGAGAACTACATTTATGTAAGTATTAACACAAAAATGAATACAACTGAGCAGGAAAGTTCTATATAGAAAAACGTGTAAGCAGGTGCATGATTTCTATGCATCCTAGAACATTTCTGGAAGAAACACAACTTTAGAAAAGGAGTATGAGAGGATAGAGAGGGGTTTTCTATTTCTACTCTTTGGTTTTTCTTCTTGTTTAAAAAATCCTGTAATTTTCTAATTAAGTACTGTACTGCTGCTGCTACCTCTACTACCCTTCCTCATAAAAACACACACATGCGGGCCTTCCCTGGTGGCACAGCCGGTTAAAGCACAGCACAATGAAGCTATCATAGCCACTGCAGCAAGAGTTCGATCCCTGGTCAGGGGGGTGACCCACATGGCGTGGCAGAGCTCTCCTGACCCACCCGCCACTCAGTAGTGTATTTCATTGGATATGCTTGTTCTGCTTCCCACTCTGTCTCTGGTGAATCCCCTCACCCCCAGACCTGCTGGCCTGTACCCTGGTTCTGTATGTATAAATAATAAATCTTTTTTAAAAAATTCTTTCATCTATGTGTCTATTTCTATATATTTAAGGATAGAACAACCCAAAGGAGTAATTCATCCTTCCAAGTTAAAAAAACAAAAACAGAAATACAAAGTAGAGGACAGTAATAAGAAAAACTTTTCATTAGATGTCTAATAAAGAGAAGCAGCTCTTCAAAGTGACTGTAACTAAAATACACTTTAGAAGTAAAGCACTCAGACCACGTAACAGAAAGTATGCACAGAAAAATGTTTAGATATCATATATCTACTCCTTACCCTTTCATCAGGGTAAAGAAATCTGATCTCCTTTGGAAGATTTCAAGCCATTTGCTATCTTGGGGGCCATGATCTTCTCATCTTCGCATAAGAAGCTGCTAAAATAATCTTCCAAACTATAGCTCCTTAGTGACCATTAACTTGATAAAAAGTAATTCCTCAAACAGCATATACTTGAAATCAACAGGATAAGATAGCTACAATAATTAAAGAAATAATAATTTCTATATACACTAGGTTTCCATTACTACTTTAAAAATACATTAAAGACATAAATGATAAAGGCCACCTTGCAATAACTCCCAATCCTGTTTGGTTTTATATTGGCCCAGAATCATTTCCTGAGCTTCTCTAATATATTTCAGGAAGTTTGGCATACTACCCTTAAAGAAAAGTGTGGAGGTAAGGGATCACAAGATGTTAAGAATGGAACCCCAGCTCCGTCCTAATCTCTCCAGCTAAGTGGTGTTTACACGCAGTCAAATTTCTGTATCTCAATGACTAATCAGAAGAATGCTTTCCTTCCAAGACTCTGGATTCATCTTTGTACTTTGCAATGTTTCTGGAATACTCCCTACGTCTCATCAGCTCACCACCTCACAAAGATGAGAAGAGAGTTGCTTTTCCTAGAACTCCTGTCAGCTAGAAAACCCTCTCTGTTTCATTCTTTCTCATAAATTGTCCAACTGTGCTCAAATCTCATGGTGAAGTATATCCTTCATCATTTCCTCCACCTCTTAATTTCCTTCTGCTTCAGACCTGGTCCTAAGATCAAACAATCTTTTATTTTAGAGATTTACTTATTTATGCATACAGAACTGGGGTACAGGTTAGAGGTGCGGAGGCAGTGAGAGGATTCACCAGAAACAGAGTGGGGAAGAACAGGCAGGTCTACTGAAACAGCTATAGCAGCAGGCAAGACTGGAGGGGGTCTGCCATGCCATGTGGGTCAGCTCCCTGGCCAAGGATGAAACATATGCTGAAGTGGCTGCTGATAGCTTCACCGTGCTGTGCTTTAACCTACTGCATCACCAGGGAGGGCCCATAAGACTGAAATTTTCTGCCTCAACCTCTTGTTTTCCATATTTTGCTATGCCAGCTACATCTTTCTGGTTAATCATTGGGGGGGAGGGGAATTTAGGGTCAAGTTCCTTGAAATAACAAAGTTATGGTTCTGAGATTCAGTTATGAAACAAACTCTCATAACCTTCATAGTAAAACAGCAAACTATAAGGTCATTTCAGACTTTTATTAGCAGTTATTTTAGAAAAGGGGAAAAGAGAAGAAGTGTCAGAAAGCTTTCCATATTCATAAATTTTCAAATTTTTAAAACCAAATAACAATTCCAAACAGTTTCAACCCTCCCTCACGGCAAGATCAAATCAGGTCATAAGAAAAGTAAGTTGTGAAACAGCAATGCATATACCTGCGGGTAGGGGGAAGTCCTGGATTTTGACTTTGAGCTGGAGAGCCTGGCTTTGGCCCCCTTCCTGCTGTCAGTCATGGTAGGAGTAGAGCTGCTGGTGTAGGAGAAGGCTGGTTTGGAGGATGAGATCTGATCCAGGGAGAGCTGCAGTCCTTTGTATTCTGTGTCCCTGCAGGTAGGGAGGACAGGCCCTTAATCAACCATCACCAGAAATGATTTAATGTGCTCACTCACCCAGAATGAGAGTAATCAGTATTTTAAAAGGAAGCAAGCAGAAATTAGCCATGTCACTGGTTTCCACAAACCTCTCAATTATTTGAGGAAAGCATACATTTAATGTATGTATCAACTAGCACATTAATGTATGCATGTAATTGATATATATGCCAAATTATCTAAACTCATGAAAATGTCTTGATCAAAAATTTATTTATTTATTTATCTGTGGTAAACACACACACACACATATATAGCTCATTTTCTCATACATGTGGAATATAAATAACAAACCCAACAACTCATAAAATATAAAAAAAACAAATCAATGACTGAGAAATATTTAGTGTTTATCAGAGATGGGGAAGAGGAGAAGTGAGAAGGGAGGGTAGAGGGAGTCAATATGATAGTGGAACGGACATTCAAACTTTGGGGGTGAATGACATGAGGTCAAGATGCATCACCCAAAATGTATATTGTTTGTTAAATGTAAACATTTTTATTAACTAAAAAACAATTTCAAAAGCATTTTAATTACTATGAGAAGTAGAAAGTAAACCCAAAATTCAACTTCTCTGAGTTGTATCCTCCTTGGTGACAAATGGATTGTAAAACCTAGTCAAAGATTCCCTGGTGGGGTAACTCAACAGAAAATGGATCTTTCCGTTTCTCTCTGTGTTCTTCTACAGAGATTAGACAAAAGCAAAAGTCAATTCAGGCAAGAAGTTCTTAAGTGACTAGGAATAGAAACCTGCTGAACCAGTAATATCACTCTCACAAACACAGTGTAATAATATATACCAGCAAATGACAATGGCTTCCAATCAAAAGGTTCATCAACTCAATGCAATTGTAAGAAATGATCCTACTTGAGCAACAGAAATTTAGGAGGGTCTTCTAGGCTTAGGAAGTCTGACCTTGTTACTACTGTAATCAACTCTGAAGGACAATACACATCACATACCCTCCACAATGTGAATCCTACCTATTTTTGACAATATTTCAACATTTTCCTTCATCAGCCCCTCACTTCATTCAAAATAGCTCTCCCCAAACTGAACTTATGCTTCCTTAACTCTCTCCCTACTCTAACACATATAAGCCAGCTCTTAGAAAGAACTCGCCTCCATAAAACCCATACTTACTGTGGAATCTATTCATTTCTTCAATACTTGTTTACTGAATGGCCTCTGTTTAAAGGACAAGAGTTGAGAGATATTTTGCAGTATTCTTATGGCTACGTGCGCAATATTTACATAGATGGAAAAGAAAAAAAAATGAAGATGCAGCTACAAAAGGTTTGTTTTCAGACAACTATAAACCAGAGACAGTCTGTAGAGTAGGGAAGAGGAGTAGGATCAAAAGAAGGGTGGAAAGAGCATATGGGACTATGGTGACGGTGCACAGTGACTTGGTGGTGGCAATGCCATGGAGACTACAACTGAGATGAAAAAGCATACATTGTAGAAAATGAAGAATGGTGTAAAAAAATATATATGTATATATATATATTTTTTTTTAATTTGCTACTGATGAGCAAATATGCCACTTTCTCTGAGTCTATGAATTCAATAAAGATGGAATTTTAAAAAAAAATTGTTGTTCCCCCATCACTACTAATAAAATCAACCCAAAGGCCTTTCTCTGAGGGAAGGTCCCCCTGAGCCACCTGCCCTAAGATTGCCTGTGCATGAGAGCGAGACAAGCAAGCAAGGTTCTCACAGGAGGCACAGCAACCACCCTGGATTGCTCATCCATATCAAACGGACGTTGCCCACTGGGCCACAGACAGGCCTTGCCTGATAGGCCCTAGCATGGCAGCAAAAGTCATGCACCCCTAGAAACATGGCCAAATAATTTCTAAAAACTCATTCATAATGCAACATTTCAGCATAGGGACTTCATGCCTACAAGCTGAGAGTAAACAAGGATTCATTTTTCTCTTCGATTTTTTCAGACACTGAAAGTATGTATCTCAATTGAGACGTTCCCATGCAACATGATATAAATACTCCAAATAGGCTTAAATAAAAATTTAAAATCAATAAATATTTTAATTACCACATGAAATGCTAATATACAAAATTATGCAAATATCCTTGATATATCAATAAAAATATTAATTTTAAAAATCCACCAAATTTTAACAGATCAGAAAGCTGATGGGTTGAGACTTGCTGTATAACAACCAGTCTAGACTTAAATTTCGTCTATAATTCATAAGAATATGATGAGATGCAGATGCAATCCATGAAAAACTTAGTACCTAGGCCATAGTAAATACTCATGAAATAATAATAATTGTTTCTTACTTCTCATGCTCTGTGACAATGCTTGGACTCTGATTTCCCCTGAACAGTAGTTTCACTTTCACAACTGTAATGCATTTCATTACAAGCACCACCTTGTACTATAATTCATTGCTTTATACTACATTTTAATTTGCTTTTTTAATTTTTATCATCTAAACTCAATTAAAGTAAAAATACTTATTAAGGTATATTGTTAAGGTGAGTTCTAAGTCAGCAAATCAGAACATTAAAGAAGTTTGATCTTTCTGCTCCTCTGTTCAAAATTTATCAACACAAAAGATGTTCCAGGATGAAAAGCACAATTAAAAAAAAAAAAACACTTAAATACATCTCAACTGTGGTTGATAAGCTGTGAAGTGTAACCCTGAGTGGTGGACCAAGCATTTGTTCTACTATTAGAATTCTATTGAGTTTTCATTTGTATAGATTAAAGGTTAGATGCTGATGGGAATCACATGCCCAGACCCTATTCCCTCCTCCAAATTCAGACAAGAGTGTGGTTCTATCTCCCTCCTCCTTCTCAAGGGAGCCATATTCTGGTATCACACAGATCTTCAAAGTTAGGTGTGTGCTTTGTAATGCCAGTCAGTGCTTCTTCGTGGAGCACTACAAAAGAAAACACTTGGATCCAAAAGTTAGGATCTAATGTGAGTGTAGCTGAAAAAAAAAAAAAAAAAACAAACTTGACTCACCTAACTTTAATGAAGGAAAGACATAGCCCTGCTCCACTTCCAAGCTTTCTTGAAAAATACAGCATTAGACGCTGTCAGGACTCCCAGAGCGACTGTCCAGGGCAGCAGAGGCTGTTCTTCCAGACATGCTCAGCTTATCAAGAAGAGCTATGTCTATGCTATATAACAGATTTTCAAAAGGACTGTTGGCACTAATTTACATTTAGTTGTTTTCTTCCCTTTAATGACTTCTATCTGAGATGCAGACCTCCCAGTTACCACAGCTCTTCAGGCAATGTGAAATGGGTGATTTTCATTCGCCAATACTTGCCACTTGCCAATCTCACCCGTATTTGCACAGACCAAACTAATCCTCTAATTTCATTATAGACAGTCAAAAATCATTCAATTTGCAGAGTTAACCAACTGAATCTACTCTAAACTTTATGACAATTGTGTACATATTTGGGATGGCTCAAATTCCAATAGAATAAAGGGGGCCTTTTTTGCTTTACAGGCCTTCCCGGCCTTCCCTTAAGCAAAACACCCTGCCTGCTGATGAGGTAAATGCCAACTTGCCTCATGGGAAGCTTAGTGGGACACTCTTACCAGCAAATACAAGATGTCTTCACTCCTGAAATGTACTGTCAACTTCAGATTAATGCATTAATATCAGTAATGCCATTTAATAACAGAGTCGACCCAGGAAAAGGGGAGGTACTGGGTTCCCTGCCTCACCCAGAAGGATGGTAGAGCTGAGAAGAGAAGAGAGGAATCTGGAGAGGGGGCTGAAGAGGAAGGAAACAGGATGGAGAGCAAGAAGGTGAGGGAGCCACATGGAGCAGAGAGACCTGTGAAGAAAGTGCATTTGCTTCTTGGTCCTGGACTGGTTGAGGCAGTTGTGCATAAGACACCTGTGGGAAGGTTCACTATGGCAGCATTTAGCTTGATTTTGATTTTGCTCTTTTCCTTCAGACTTGTCTGGCCATTTCTGACCTTTTTCCACAGGTCCCAACCAGAAGGTACTTTAGGCTTGTTGTAGGCTTTCGGACCTTATTTTGGGCCAATCCCTTTGGGGTGGACTTTTACCCACGAAGGGAAGGGTAACTTCAGGTGTTTGATTTAGAAACTATATTCTTTGTCTTTTCTGTATTGCACACTGATTGTGGTAAAGTTCCTTTCCATTAAAGGTCTTATATGTTTTGTCTTGATGCGGCGGATGGCAGAACCTACTTAGAATAGGCAGGTCTGGGGGTTTGGTGGTGCCCTCTCTCCATGCACTGTAATAATTTCAACTGCAAAACAAGCTACCATAATGCCAATAGAGAGGCTAACATTTTGACACCTTCAATTGAGCTGGAATGGTATCAGAAAAGCAGTCAAGAATATTTTATCAGTTCCCGCTAAGACTGCAAGAATCTTTCTTCTCAACTCTGCTGCATCCTATTCCATTTCCATTTTGGACAACTTAAGTTTTATTTCTATCTTTCAACTTTAGGGATGGTGTTCTGGGCTTCTTTGTTGGCTTTACATAATGTGGCAATTCTTAAAAGATGTTGCCAGATTTCCCAGTTGAGCTATTTTTTTAAAAAACAGCTGAAGGTGATCAAATTACGGAGGTGAACATGGAAACAGAGACATACAATTGATTTGGCTCCAAAAGCACTGACTGAAATAAGCAGAGGATTGCATTAAACCGTGATCGGATTAAGTAGGAATGACTGTGCCTTATTCTAAACTTTTTAATTGGATTCTGGAGTCACTGTTACACAAAGTGCATGACCTCCTTTATATTCTGGCAGAGTTACTGCCCAGCCACTGCATAACCTCCACAGCAGAGAGACCTACTTTATGTTTTATTTTCAGGCTCCCATGGAGCCCAGCAGAGAGAGATGATAAAGAGGATCCCATACTGTGAGGGACTCACAGACTAAGACAATGTGTTGGGAAATTAGGCTAAGACACCCTTG